ACATCAATCTCTAATTAAGAAAATGCATTACAGATTTGTCTACATGCTAATCCTATGGAGACATTTTCCTCAGTTGAGAATTCCTCTTTACAAATGACTGTAGCTTGTGCCAAGCAGATATAAAACTAGCCAGTCCAATTAGCTTTCAGGAAAATGGGCCTACTTGCTATACCCTGTGTATTATTTTTTGGTTCAATAAATCCTGACATTGTTGAAGGGCTCAAACATGTTTGTCTATGTTTCCAACATAGTGTGTTCATGTGATGGTCTTTTATTCCAGGCCTTCTCTTCACAGACATGTATACCTACTTGGTGTAATGAAAAGAGTCCTAATACTTTACTGGATAAATGAAACTGAGGCAGGCCCCAGGTCATTGAATTAGCTCAGTGACTTAAAGCCTTTTGACCAGAGTGCCACCTCAAAACTCACAGTATAAAGAGATAACTCAATCCTACAAAGTTGTTCTTTGACAGCCTCCCACATCTCTTGTAGCATATTCCCCCCACTAAAAAATAAAATGTAAATTAAATCTTAGGCCCCTTTCTAAGAGCTCCATGGCAGTGGCTAAGAGATGTTTTCTTAACGATTCTTACTGATTATGACCCGGCTTCCTTTCCAATCAAGACTAAGCCACTACTCCCATTCACCCCTCAAATTTACATCATATGTATGAGACTTGAGCCTTCTTAGCTTCAGGACAGTGTGCCCCTGGGGCCTACTTAACTAAGGAGATGAGAACATTGAAAAACAAGAGAGCCAGAAAGAAATCAATAGAAACTACTGTTGAACAAGAAAACGAGACAGTACCCACGGCTAGTCACACTTGGGGGAGCTTTGGCGTTATCTGTCTCAACAGATCTGCTGCAGCACTGGACTTCAGTGAAACATAGTCGGATGGTAAAGGCAGACACCACAAATGTCTGCTGCTGGGCTTGTGGGGTGACTCACAGCATAGACAGCTCTGTCCCAATCATTCAGACTAGTCAGAGAACATCTGCTAGAGTCATCTTCTCAGAATACCATGCACGATTTGGCTCTCCTTCTGGCCCTGGCCTACTTTTGTTATTTTAACTTGGCTGACTTGGTTTTATGTCTGACATCATTTTCCAATGTACATGGATTTCACAACTCAAATCTACCTAGGGACGATTGATTCCATATAAGATGACTAAAGTATGTAATTAAGATTTAAAAATGATATTTAATCTAAAAGTGTTGGATGGGAACCAAGATTTCTTATAGAAAACTATCTGCTTATTTATCCCTAATAACACATAAGAAGTGAGAGTAAATTTAAAAAAAAAAAAAATCACAATACAAATCAATCAATGCTCCCTGTTATAAGTAGCTAGCTTTGTTTGCTGAGGATTTGATAATTTAATTTTCTCTTATTGGCTGAAAAGACATTCAACCTTACAAATATATATATATCACCTGGGACATCATCTTTGCTTAGACTACAGCTTGAAACGCAGGAAAATGGCTGGGGCCCCTGGAGCATGCTACAAACCTCTCATACTTGCAGGGCAGTGTCTGCTTTGTGGTAACTTAACCATCCTTAAGTGGGGAAGGCTGCACTCTGATGTGCTCAGAAAACGCCCCGTTTAGATGGAGTCACAAAGGAATGCTCTGCTGATTTCTCTCTTTCTCCACCATGTGGCTTCCACTCCCTTCTGAGGTTTAGATCTTAAACTTGTGTCCCGACCACTCAAACCCCACTCTCCTTTCCCTAAACTTCTCCTTTGCGGATCCGTTTTGTTTGTCTGACTTTATCGGTTTCCTTCTGCTCCAGAAGGCTCTTTCTTTCTTTCTTTCTTTCTTTCTTTCTTTCTTTCTTTCTTTCTTTCTTTTTCTTTTTCTCTTTCTTTCTTTCTTTCTTTCTTTCTTTCTTTCTTTCTTTCTTTCTTTCTTTCCTTCCTTCCTTCCTTCCTTCCTTCCTTTCTTTCTTTCTTTCTTTCTTTCTTTCTTTCTTTCCTTCTCCCTCCCTCCCTCCCTCTCTCCCTCTCCCTCTCTCTCTCTCTCTCTCTCTCTCTCTCTCTCTCTCTCTCTCTCTCTCTCTCTCTTTCATGTCTTGACTCTCTGGTTATTTTCTTTCCAGTTTGTTTCTTATAATGGTCCTCTTTCTGTTATGTTCCACCCCAGTTATGAAGTATGTTCCCAGAGCATTACTTCTCATTCACTCGACAAATATTCACTGAGTAAATACTCCTTGACATTTTTTCTCCTACACCCACATACAGACCATCAAATTTGTTGGCTGTACAATAAAAACTTACTGAGAAATTGACTTTGATTTATTAGTACCAATGTGGTTAAAGCCACCATGGTCTCTTTGCTGGGCTTCAGTCTTTAAATCGGTCTCTAGTGTTGCTTTTTGCCATCCCCTGCCCCTTGGTTCTTCATCCAACATCTGGAATCTCTTTCTTTCTTAACCCACCTCACAGCACACTTCTGCTCTGCTTAAAATGTCCACAGGACTTTTCTCTTCACCCAGATCAAAGGGGGAAGCCACGGAGGCTCTCTATATGCTCAGCTGTTTGCCTCTTTCTTGTTATCAGTTCTTAGGTTTTATCTTACTTTTTCTTAATCTTACACAGTATGGAAACCCAGCTTGGCCTCTCTTTGTCCCCTAACTTCAGGATCTCTGAGCTTCTGTTTATGGTGCCAGGATCACCTTGCTCACACTACACAACTTAAGTATGTTCTCTGTAATGCTGTCCCAGAACCCTTTATTTAAATTTACAGCAAATTTCTTCTCTCGTGTTTTTGCTATTCCTGATTTCTCTATATCACTTGTTACATTTATACACTTAGTATCTTTTCTTCACTTGAGAATAAAACTCCAAAAAGTTTTCACTGACATTAGAAAAAAGTCTAGTGAAAAAACTACAAAGGAAATAGGCTTGGCCAAGTACTTGGCATGAACATGAACTCTGAATATTCTGCCCTATCCAAGTTGTAGTAGGACAAGATACAGGAGTCTGTAAGAAGGTGGTCCTTGAGCTGGTTAGTTCAATGAAGGAGTGGGCTGTTTTACGTTATCTTTACACAGAAAGGTAACATGAACCAAGGAATGTAGGCCTACTCCTGCTTTTTCCTCTGATCTCACCATTTCTTAGCATGTCAATCTGGCTTCTTACAGTCCAGAGTTACACCATCATTGGTGGGTTGCTGTATCTCCGAGCACAGCTGGCTGGGAATATGTGGAAAGCAAGACGTGTTTCACGGCCCTTCAGTCAGTGATTGACGGAGGTGAGAATAAAGATAGCCCAGGTATCTTGCACCCTGGCTAGGTTATCTACGGGGGTAAATTAGTGCCTGTGGACAAAGGGCCACACCCACTGTGGTAGACTATAGAATGAATCAACTCCTATTGTCTTTTCTGGAATTTCCTCAACCTCACCTACTCAGTTTCTTCTGACCATCACACAAAACACTCTTCCTTGTAACCTTGGGTCAAGGTCGGCCTATGGAGGAACCCAAATGATGTCAATGATTGCAATACAAATGTTGCAGGGTAAAAATAAAACTTCCTGCTCTAGTAGACCAAGCAAGCCAAGTCAATCAAGTGTTGGATATAGAATGAGGTGGTTTAATATTTTAGTAGAATAATCTGAATCATAGATTAATGGGTTAGGACTGTTTTCAGATCTTCCGTGAAATCTTTGCATTTAGGGATGAAAAAATTCACGAGTATGATGATGGATCTAGCCATAATATAGAGTGCCACAGTTTGAGACAGGAAGCAGCCACAGGAAAGTTGGCCAATGAGAATACAGTTTCAGCTGTGGCATTAGGGGTGTGTTACTTAAGCAGGAAAGAAAGAATGGAAGGAGACAGAGAAAATGAGAAGGAAAAAGGCAACAGTTCTCTGGGTTGGTAGTATTGAGAGCAGATTATTATTTTTTTAATCTGAAGCCATGTGAGGTAGAACATCATTAGCAAAGACAAAGAAATTGGGTGTGAGATCTGTATTTAATGAGCTAAAGATTCTAAATGTTTGTCATGGGAACAGTGAGGTAGACATCTCCAGCAGAAAACAGGGCTGGCAGCCTGAGATGGCAGGAAGGCTTTGGTTTCATAATGGGACACTTTCAGGCTGTGATTGAAGCGTCTGGCTATTTTGAAAATCCCAGAGACACTTGCTTTATAGAAGCTTTTAAGTTTTGACGTTGAAACTCAACAGAGGAGGAGAATGTCATAGTAACCAATAATTATTGGTGGACTCTACAGTTAAGCATACATGGAAATTCCAGTACTAGCCAGGCAAATTGAGGACTTCAGAGGTTCGGGAAGCAGAAAGTCAAGTTCACGGAACTTGGCAGTGATAAGGATGGAATTCTGGAAACATATTTACCCCAAAGACTAGCCATTTTTCTGAGGGCTGGTTCTGCTTGGTTCTGCCGGGATTCATGACACTGCACCTGCCACCCACACTGTAAAGGGCTCCATCCCTCAGCTGTTCCTTCTTCAGACGATCTAAGCCTCACATTAGTCTTCCTTATTCTTCTCTAGTCACACTTTCCATCTCTTTGATTATGTCTACTCATCTCTGAACTTTCTCCAATTTTCCTTTATTAAAAAAAGGGGGCGTGGGGAGGGAGACAGTTTAAAACCTTCAACACACTGTAATAACTGGCTTAGTTTTAATCTCAGGATTTTCTTCTTCTCTAAATGTCACACTCAAAATATTTACAAACTTTCCTACCTGTTTTTAATATGCTAGCTACTGTTCCTTTTGATTTTATGCTAATTTTACAATTGAGTAATTTTTGACTTCAAAACTTTTGAGTTAGAATGAGTATTTCCTTCCTCTTATTTCAGGGAGATTTAAGTAGAAGATTCTTGAATGCGGTCCATTTGATTCTTTCTTCTTTAAGTAAGAAATACCATGGAATGTGTGAGAGAAAGTTGTCAAAACTTTTGCCCTCGCACAATTCAGTTTAAATCCTGGGCTAAAGAATAAGAACACAAGAAAAATGATTTTGCATAGACATACTTATCAAAACCCAAAGTAGTGGAGGCGGCTCCCAGGAGCCCAGGAATGGCTCCTCCACATCCTCAGAAGTAATTTTCCATGTGCCGGACAGGAAGATCATGTTAAGGCACAGTCAGTCTCAGGTTGCACAAGCTGGACTAGGAATCAGCCAGATTTACAAGCTTCATTACTGGAAAGAGTCTACGGCTCTCCTGGCATCAGCAGCCGGAGAAATGTTCATCGCACAATGAAAAGTTTCTGTTTACAGAATAAAACCAAAAGCATGGCCTTCTCCGACATGGGGATGGCTAAGCTCAGAAGCAACAGTGTCCTGGGATGGAATCCCCATCATCACTGTGGCTGGGAGAGTGACAAGAGCCTACTCAGCCAGGCAGGCTGAAGCCCCGGTGGTCACCCCTCGCCTCCGGGAGCGCTGGGTTCAGTAGAGGAGGGCTGGGCAGGGCGCGCCGTGGAAGCTTCTGGAACGCGGGGAGAGGGCAGAGGGGTGCACTGCTCGCAAAGGCGCTCCGGGGAGCCCGGGCGTGAGGCGGTGCACGTAGGCGTAGGCGACTCGGAGGGTGGGGGCTCAGCCTCGACGGCTCGGGACGCGGGGTCCAGGAGCAGCGCCCCGCCCCCGGCCCCGCCCGCCCGCCCTCCGGGGCCGCTCTTAAACCCGCGCAGCCCTGGCCGCCGCTTCGCTCGTCCGCTCCGTGCGCTCTGGCTCCGCGTTAGTCCGTTCCGTCCTCTCCGCCCGCTTCGGCGTCCGCGCACTCAGCGCGACCCGCGCAGCCCGCTCGCCGCTGCCGCCGCCCCGGGCCCGGGTCCGGCCCAGCGCTCTCCGGGGTCTCCGCGTCTCGCGAGAAGTCGCCGCCGCAGGCCTCGGGCTCCCGGGCGCAGGGGCGAATGGGGGGCGGTGGAGCGAGGCCCGGCCGGCTGCTGCCGGTGCTCGCCCTGCTCTCCTGGGGGGCAGGCCTGGGCGTGGCGGAGGAGACGCCCTCGCGCATCCCTGCAGGTGAGCTCCGCACGCCGGCTTCCACGGGCGGGTCTGGCGGGCACTGGGCATCTTTCCTTTCCGCCCCGGGACCTACCCGCGGGGGCTCCATGCTTTCGGATGGACGGTGACTGTCTTTGCAGCGCCCCGGGAAGCACCCGCCATCCTGCCACTGCCCCTAAACCGCGCTCGGGACCAGGCTGCGGGCGGACCCACTGCGCGCCCACCCACTCCTCCTGGTCCACTTTGGGACGCAGAGTCAGGCGTCCCCGAGCTCTGGCCCTGGCCGGTGTTCGGAAGCTGAACTAAAACTAGTAGTTGGAGGCAAGATCGTGTGAACAAAACTTTCTGGGTTCAGCCAGAGGAGAGCCCCGCCGCCTATTTGTCTAAACAGGACTTGCTGCGCTTTATCGCGCAGGGGAGTTCTTTCAGCGGTTTCCACTTTGGGGCCCTGGGCTCAACTCCCTGGAACTGAGCCTTGGGTTTAAATGACCTGATGTACCGTTAGTGGGTGGATGCGATAATTTTGCCTTCTTCAGTAACTAGTTGGATCCTTTTCTGCTGGAATCTAAGCCCACGAGCAAGCATTTCTACCTCGGGATTCCAGTTCAGAGGGTGACATTTGGCACAAGTTCAGCTGGTCTGTGTACCCATCGTTTTGTCTTCCTCTTCGGGCAATTCATGAAACTTAAGCGCTTAACAGCCTCTAGTTCTGTGGAACACTGCTTGCTTTGTTGGCTGCAGAAATGTGTGCCTTTATTCTATCAGTCACAGGGAAATCTGAACCCGTATGATTATTCTGAATTTGAGCTAAATTTAATCACACATCAAAAGCATTTCTTTTAGCATAACACATGAGAACCACACAAATAAATGCAAATAGAGACATAAAGTGTAAAAACTTACCTTGAAAATTTTCTTTGTTAAAACACCCAAATAAGATAAGTAAAAGTACCCTCGAGGACTTGCTAATTTCAGAGTTTGGCTCCAGAATTCTTTGTGTTTTATGCCACTCGGATGCCACCTCTCACTCTCACCTCTGTAAAAAACAGAGGATATCCGTGCCAGGCTGCTACCTTTAAATTTGTCGTCAAAAAGCAACTCCTTCCCTGTGCAAACTTTTAAGTTTCCTGGAATCAGATGTTAAATGTTTTATGGATTGTCACATCAGAGGAAGGGAATTTCAGATACGAATGTTTCCCATGTAAAATCCAGGGTTGACATCTGAGACTTGGTGTCTGTGGTAGGTGGGCACAGAGTTCAGTTATGAGCTAAAGGTTGGAAATGTTAGTGTGTACTAATGGAGCCAGCAGAGCAGTAACCAGTCTGGTTACATACAAAGGTAGATGGTCTTACATGTTCTGTGATAAGCTAATAAGTGCAGAAGATACGTTGTTTGGTAATTTGCTCAGATTTATCAGCTGTGGTTAATTTTTATCCCTGAGGTAGTACACCTGAAAATTACTACATAAATATGGAAATAATCTCCTAAGGTGTAAGTTGTCTAGATTAGTAGGTCTTCAGGAAGAGTACCAATCACCTCTGACCCCATTATTTGTCAGTGTGTCCCAGCTAGTCAGTAAAAAAGTGTATTCAGAGCTGGCGAGATGGTTGGGTTGGTAAAGTACTTGTCCTGAAAGTGTGAGGGTCTGAGTTTGGATCCCCAGGTCCACTTTACGGTTGGGCGTGGCGGCCTGTGCCTGTAATCTCATTGAAGGTGAGATCATAGGCAGATCCGTGAAGCTGACAGGCTGGCCAGCTAGTGTAGTCTGCCTGGTGAAGATACACACTAATGAGAGACCCTGTGTCAAACAAAAGGTGTCTGTTACCTGAGGAATGACTCCCGAGATTGTCTTCATACCTTCACAAGGCACAGCCTCCCACACAGAAGGAGCGGACTCTTTCAGCATTTCTTGGCTCTATCAATAGTTTGGGCCATACTCCTTTGCTCCTGGTGGCTGTCCTATGCATTACAATATTACCTGTGTCCTTGACCTCTGCCCACTAGTTGCCCATAGCACTCAGCTCTGGATGTGAGAACAAAAGAAATCTTCTAAACAGCAAAAGGTCAGTCTCCTGAAAGGCAAACGGTCCATGCTGGAGAATCTGTGCAAGATAAATAGGTGTCCCAGAGGCAGCATGGCATAATGGTATCGGGAGGAGAGTTGCTCCTCCTCTGCCCTTCCATTTATTTTTGAGAGTTTTTCTGGAACTCCTGGACTCCTGTGATCCTCTCACATCAGCCTCCTGAGTAGCTGGGACTACAGGTCTTCACCCCTTGCCTGGCAGGATTTTTTTGGAAAGCAATTTTTTCTAAGAAATTTCCACTTTTATAGTGAATGTGCTTTTGGAATAAGTTTCCTGCTTTGGGATGTGTGCTCAACAGCTGGGAATGTCCTACTTGTTACAGCACCTGAAAGGTCTGCTGCCCTGAGTGCCTTTTGGCCGCCCCTGTATTCCAGACCAAGAGAGCAATGTAGACAAGATCTCAATGAAAAGCATCATTTGTACTCATTTGTCCTTGAAACGTTTGTCAGAATTCTCTCTGTTGCAGCTTTCCCAGGCGGAGCGCTTCAGTCCAGTTCATGTGTCGATGTTTCTTTCTGTACTCCATGCCTTCTAGATGAGAGGAGGGGAGTGAGTTCCTGCCAAGTCTTTGCAGTCTGGGTGCTAGACCTGGATCCAGACTGGTGTGTGCCTTTAGAGGCACCTTGACTGTTTCCTGAACTAAATTGGGCAAAGACCAAGTTTGAAGCAAAATCGAAGGAAATGGTTTCAGACATTTCGGTTAAGACTAGTATTTTTCAATGATGCCCATTTATAAGCTCTTTAACTTGCTATGGTGCGTTCGAGGAAGACAGAAAAGGCTTGTTCCTATCTGCTGATGCAAACCAGCAATTTCCAGGGTGGAGGGAGGAAAGCCAGTCCCTGGAGAGGCTGTGGGGAGGGAAGGAGGGAAACTCCTCTGTACTTCCTCTGTCTGTCTGTCTGTCTTCTCTGTAGTTCTCCCAGGCAGTCTAGGACATAGGAAATTCCTCTCCTGGCTGTCTTTCATTTTTGTTTTTCTTTCATTTATAACTTTTTAATATGGTTGGTTTATGCAGCTCAAACCTGTTTTGCTTTGTGTTTATGATTTAATGACTTATAGATTACATTCTTTAGAATGCAGGCCTGGCCCCTTTTACCACAAAGAGATTCACCATTTATTTTGTTAAGCTGAAGGTCTCCTTTAAGAGTTATGAAAAGTAGTATGCAGCCAGTGAGGTTAGTAGCTGCTTTTTTTTTTTTTTTCCAGGCCTTCACCTAACCTGGACGAGCGTTTTTTCTCCCTCAGGTACCCTTGCTACCGAGACTGAGCACTGTAACCGTGTCCTGTCAGCCAGGACCTTGTTTCCAAGTCACTGTTGGCGGGTCTTCTCCACAGCTCGTGTTTTCTCCCGATTTCTCTTATAAAAGGTGGTGCAGACGGTGTTCCTCTCGGGTGCTTGTGTGCCACAGTCCGTTATAGGGCCAGAATTGAGATTTGAGATGGTCTACACCTCCCACAAGGCCACTGGGGAGCAATAAGAGAGTGTGTACCCTTTCTCCAGGCTGTTTCTGTTTCTCCATGCCCTTCCTGCCTTCATTATCGCTCTGTTGGGTACAGGGAAAGAAAATAGCAGCTGAGCTTCAGTGGCTTAGAGAGAGAGGGATGTTTAATAGGAAAAGCATGCTGTTCGTAGGTTATGTCCATACTGGTATATGTGCAAGACTGAAGACCAATTTGCCCCTCAGCCAAGGGATAGACTACCAACCATAGGCCAAATCTGTAAGGTGAAACCTGGCTATGTGTTTTTGTATAACCTTCCAGCAAACAGACTTCACATTGTCGGATGGATGGAAAAGATCAGAAGGAAAGTAGTATATCATGGCATGTGAAAACTTTATGAACTAGAGGCTGTATTGGCTGCAGTCACATTCATGTGCTGGCACATTGTCTGTGGTGGTATTAGTGTTCCCAGGCAGAGCTGAGTAGTTTCACACAGATGGAATTGAGTACGAAGTCTAAAGTGTTCTCCGTCTTGCCCTGTGCTGGTCCTTGCCGTAGGAGATGACATTCTCATTGAAGCTGTAACACATGTTGATTGCTCCTCTCTTGGAAAGAGCCACATTTGGGACAGTAGCAGCTGGCTCTGGGCATGGCAGAGGCCTGGTTTTCATTTTAGATGTTGCTAGTGATTTCTGCAGTTTTTGAAATACAACACTTGAATCTTAACTAGATATATACTTTGGTGTAAATACTGTTTATGAGTCAAAGACCAAACAACTTTACTTTGGCCAGATGGGAAGGAGATGCATTTTTCTTTTCTTTAGGGTTATTTGTATTCTAGAAATTTATTTAAGGACCTTGGTGATTCACTTTGGCTTAGTTCTTTGAGTGAAATAATTAGTACATTTGTCATTCAGAATTTTTAGTCTCCTGTAACTGTAACAGTAAATCAGGCTAACAGAGAAGGTGGTATATTTTCAAGTGACTTGAACTGTTTTGTGTGTGTATTTTACTTTTTTTTTTTTTCTCTGTGAACACACTATGCAGGAGTGATT